TCAGGTTTTTTCATCTAAAAAAATTGACATTAATTTCTTGATAGTCTAATACTAAAGAATTTGATTTTGAAAATAAACAACTTGTCTTAAAAGTTTTGAATTTATAATCCTCTGAATTAGATGGGATACTTTATTTAATCAACATCTAAAAATTAATGTATACAGTTGGCAAGGCTTTTCTCTAAACTAAAGCAATTTGTTTTTGTTTGTGAGGTGGTGCTAGTGTATGAGATTTGTATGCCACTAGCCTTGAGCTAAGTTGCACCTAAAAATCATGTTTAACATGAACTGTGCTAGTGCATCATGACATTCTTATGCTACAATAGTCCTCCAACAATAGGAGGGCAACAGAACCTCCTTATGCAGTAACTCTCCTTAAGCATTTGTGCTCAAAATAATTTATTTTTAGACAAGGCAAGAAGAAACTGCACTGGAAGTTGTATGGACACGTGGAAAGGTGTGCAGAAGTATCTATTGAGAATACATTTTAATTTAACAAAAATGTTAACTTCTGAGACTATACTTCACCTATTCACACAAAATAGCTATAATCCCCCATCGAAATGGTGGAGGGACCAGTGTAAAAATTAAGCCTAAATTAACTTTCTTCAGAAAGTGCCAGAATAGAAAGCCCATGGAATGTGAAACCCAATGAAAGGGGCTCCTTTGGGGCACAACTGTGGGAGATGGAAGACTGCATCTTGTCTCAACTGTAGTATATCTTTCACCTGTGGAATTTGATCCTGACCAACAGAGCATCTGCACACAAATGGTCAGCATGCAAAGAAGTGTAATGTGGTCAGGACATAATCAGACAGTAGTGTATGTGTCTCACCTTGACTCAACTGGACATACTCTTGCTGCAGGAGGAGGATGCACTATGTGTTTGAGGAATGACCAGCACTACATAGACAGCATCACCACTGACCCACTTCCCACTAGTGCTGCACACAATCAGTGAAGAACTCTCCAAGGTCCACCATCCCAGCAGCTAGGAATTTGTAAGTGGCTAGGGTACCTTGTGCTCCAATTGAAGAGGAGGAGATTTGGTGAAGTGCCTGGGTCCTCTAATATTTCCTCCCAGAGTATGTTGATTTCCCAAAATCTGCATTGGTCCATACATAATGGAAAGCATTCAACCTATCTACCTGGCAGAATTCTATAAAAGGGAATAGGGTGCTGAACAAGAAAATGCATTTACCCTTTTCAAAAACAATATGTAGTTTCATTGAAGAAAAACGACTGGAGGGAGTCTATGTCCAACAGGATACAAAACAGCCAGATGACAAAGATAATAGGAGAAGAATGTACAGATTCATCTACATGCCAGCCTTAAGAGGTCTTGGATAAGATGCAAGAGTGAAACAGTTGACAAATTTGATGCAATGAAATGTAAAAGAATGATTACCTTCCTGAGCAGCCACAATGGTAGGAAGAAAGGCCCAGTCTGAATAGAGGAGGAAGTAAGTACAGTGAAAGAGAGTGCAGGAAGCATTGATTTCACAGAAATCAAAACAATGGCAACCACTGGCGAGAAGGAGAAGAATACATAGCTTCAGAGAAAGAAGGTATAATGAACATGAAGCCAACAGCTCAAATGGAGCATGTGTAAGAGCATCAAGAACCATGTCAAAGTTCCAGTGAAGCATAGGAATAGGATGGGTGGTTGGGCAAAGAAAGAAGAATCAGAACAAAGTGGAGAGAACAGGAGAAATAAACCAGATGCAAATGGCAAAGATAGTTCATAAAGCTTCCTGAGAACCAGCAATGGTGGATACTGATAATTTATGGCTGAACAATCATGTTAAAAAAGCTGAAATGTGGACCACAAAAGGATAGTCTGAAGGAAGAGAGAGACTGATGGACCAACATTAAAAACTCACCACTTCTATTGAAAGAAGAACAGAAGATGACAAGAATGAGATGAGAAAAAGGCTACATGATTGAACAGTCCAATCCTGTGGACAATGGAATGGACAAATCCTGCATGTGAAGAGGAAGGGACAACATCCTTCAGTGAAAAAAAAAAAAGATCATTGGAAAAATTAAGTATGGAAATGAAAAAGGAAGAAGATTGGGCACTGATGCCAATCAACAAAGCTGAGAAAATGGCTGTACCAGCCAAATAAGCACCACCAACAGGACATGACAAGGAGTGTTGCATATCTAAGCAAGGACAAGAGGAAGAAGAGGAATATAAGGATATGGATATAGAAAAAGGTAAGACCGATAGTGACTGACAGTATCAACTGTCAAACCAAAGGATGAGGAACTGAGGACCCAAAGATAGGAAGTCTGATGTTAAGAGTGGTTAGGCCCTGAAGAGAGGTTTTTCCAATTGAGAAAATCCAATGAAAAACCTGAAGATGAAGAGACCATTCTATGAGTAAAATCCTGCCACACAGTTTAGAGCCCCTGGAAAAAGACGAGACATGAAACAAATCCAACAGGAATAAGCCTAAAATAGCAGGTCTAGTGTGATGAAACAGTGTGTCTTGAAACAGATATCCCCCTGACAGTTCATATGCAAAATGATTGTAGGATTGTCAGGATGGATCATGACTAACTGAGAATGGGGTGTAAAAAGTGTGTCCAAAACAATTATCCTGGTCATCCACAGTCTGGGTGAACAGAATCAGCTGAGAGAAAAGAAACCCTTCATATGGAACCAA